GTGCTTCATTTGCTCCACAGCGGCATGAAGTGGACAATAGATGTAAAACAGGTAAAGTGATTTTTATGACTTTTGTCTGCAGCTTTTAACTGAATACATGACTAAATGATGTTTATTATGCCAATACATAAATGCTGAATATTGTTTTAGTGTGTTTTAATGATCAAAGGAAAATTGGAAACAGATAATAGTCCTGGACTTTTGTTACTTTTTAACCATTTATATCCTTTTGTAGAAAGCAGCCAGAAAAGCATCAGCAAGTTTATGCAAGTCAGGATAAAATCTTTTCTGTCTCCAGTTGTCCAGTGTTACCATTATGATTGTATTTGTCTCCAAGTCTTTTTGCATCAGACTTGGCTGAGATTGGTCCACTTGGTTGGTCTCCTTGTTTTCATGCAGAACCTCAGTATAGATGAGGTCTTTATATTTCATTAAAGTTCAGTTGAACACAACATATCTCTTCTTAAAACATCAGAAATTAGAAGAAAGAAATCAGAACAGCGACCACTGTGCTGTTTTTGACATTATTATTAGTGATGATTTATTACCAGTGAAAATTGTTTCTATATCAAAAACTCGATCACGTTGCAAACACATCTGCAACAAGATCCTTATACAACAAAATGTGATCAGCAGCGTTTTGGAGCTCATATGTTGATTCACAGGCAAACCAAGAGATCCAGTTCATAAATCAGTCATGTGACTTTCAAGGTTTCAAACGTTGCCATCAGCATCATCAACACAAGTCTCTAAACCTGCTTTATCACTTATAATGTGCTTCCAAACCCAAAGGAGAATCACTGCTGCTCCATTCATTAAGTTTAGAAATAGTGATAGAGAACTGAAAGTGGGAATTTTGGTAATTTAGTATATCTGCAAGATATTGTATAAATTGTGGAAATAAGTTATTATTGTCCCAATATGTAAAACATGTAAAGACACATAGAGTCAGATGGTGAACAGAAGATTAATTTTGTTTTTTGAAAATAGAAGATTACATGTTTGAAAAGATGTTTTTGAA